TCCTGCCCCTGCTGCCCCACGACTCACCCCCAGACCTCCGGCCTCACCCCTCTCTGGCCGTATGCCTTCCAAGGGAGTGGCTAAGGGCTGAGCGACTGCTTGCTTTGGGGAGCTACCTTCCAGGAGACCCCACATGTGGGCCTGAGCTCAGACAAGGGCCTTTTGTGTGGTCCCCACCTGGTGCCCTGCAGAACACATTCCACTCTGAAGTGGCAGCTGAAAGAGGCACCTCGGCGGGCGGATCCAGATATTACAAATTCCTCTCACAGGCTATCCTCAGTCAAACCCAGCTTCCTGGACAGGTGCAACTTCAGGTAGTCCTTCCTACAGGTGGCCCGAGCCTGCCCTTTCCTGCCACTGCCCAAGATGACAGACACAGAGAGTGGATGGAGTGGTGGACTCAGTCCTTCAGAGCAAACGACACCAGGACTGGTGGGCTGAGGTCAGACTCCAGGAGAGACAGGACCCCACCCAGACCTTGTCTTAACCTTTGCCTTGAACACAAAGCTCCCACAGAAACATCTGGGAAAGGGGATTTCATCCAGGGTAGGGGAACAAAGAACTTGAGGCAGGCTAGCCAAAGAAACTCCATGTTTGTTAGCTGCTGGATGACCTGCCTCCTTCCCCCTCCCATCTCAGAAAGTCCCATTAGTGAGTGATTTTAGGATGTACTCTCATGCTCTCAAGATCAGAACACTGTCATTAATAATACTCCTTCAGACGTTATAACCAGGGACCAGGTTGTTACAATCAGTGCTGTAACCTGTAACGCTCAGAAACTGTAAAGACTAGTAACATTAATTTTGCTTTCTGCTTTTGCTGAAGTCCTAGTCAAATGATAAATGAGTTTTTGTTTGTAAAGATGGACGGAGATGTGTACTCCGGACTGCAATCAAAGAATCACTTTTCTTTTCCAGCAGTCCGGTTATAACCAAATAAAGACTCTTGTGAATTATCAAGACATTATAGTGGCTGCCATTTATTTGAACCCATAACAAACTGACAGAAATGTATTCCCCTGAGATGAAATGTCAGATTCTGGCCCCTTCTGTGCCCCCCTACACCCCTGCTCCCTTGGATCAGCCTTGGGAGATTTGCCTCTCTACCCCTTGCACCTCCTTTAATTCTGAAAATCAACTCTCAAGCTACATGGAGCCAATGGTCTCACTCCCATTTACTGTCAACTGGTTTCCCTCCTCCAGTTGGCTTGATCAGTGCCTGGCACGGCCATGTGCCTGTCTCTCATGGTTCTCCACAGGCAGACACAAGACCACACTACTCTGGAACTTAAATCTTTGTCCAGTGTAAGAACCCAGATCCTATGGGTGGCG